AAAAATGTCGGTAATTGTTGTGCCCTCGCTTGCTCAAACGAAAAAATAGAGATGAGTGCTTTTAAGTTATGATACGTGTTCACTTTGTGTTTCAATGATTAGGCAATACTGAAGCTTACGTTTTACAGGCTGGTCAACTCTCCAAGTCACCCTGTCTTGTCATGGCTGTCTTGCGTGACGGTGCTGTCACCTGTTACGACTCTTTGTGTGACAGGTAGGCATGTCTTCTTGATGTCGATAAGTAAGAAAATAACACAAACAAGTCGATTTTCAGGACATTTTTTTTCATTAAAACTCTCAAATCCTCTTGTCTATTCCTCATACATAATCTTTGGGCAATTTGAGAGAATTCGAAATTACTTTTTTGGTTTCTTTATTCCCAAAACTTTCAAACAAAAATTTGAATCGATTTTTTTACAGAATATTTTTCTCTTAAATCAATTTGATGGCTTGACCAGTGGAGGCGTCTTGCCCACCAGGTACCCAAGGGCAGACTATCATATTGTTTGGTGTCAACTGTTTTGTGCATTTCCCACTTCTCATTTAAGTGCACCCGTCAAGAAAATGGTGTTCGTGGTATTCATTAGCGAAGAAAACCTGTCAAAGGCAAAAAACAGGAAAAACTGGGAAGTCCTCTTGTGACGTCTTCTCCGGTGTCAAACTTCGCCTCGGCGAAGTTTTTCCTCGACAATGTTCCTACATGTCAATTTGTCGGGATGTATTTGTAGTTTGTAAAGTCAGGTCAGGTGTAAATAAATTGACTCTGAGATCGCTTGTAGAGAGACATTAACGGCAAAATTTGTCACATTTCATTTTCCAAGCTAACTTAGTAATTCTTAAAATACTTCACCTTGATATTATTTTGTTTAAGTGTCACTATAGTGTTCGGATCTACTTTACGTATACAAAGACAAATAGGAAGATCATAACATCATGATCTTATGATCTTTTTCCGCGTTTTTCGTTCTTCAGTTTAGTGGAACTAACATGCAGGTATCACGACAATCTTACTTTTTCAACTCTAACATTCTTCTGTTGTCACTCCTAGCTCTCCGAAACTGAAATCGTTGTACGCAAATTCCGGAAAGTTCATGTTGGCAGGGAAGACGTTGAAAGAGGTTTGTTTTTAGAGAATTTCAAGAATGTACCACAATTTACCAACTCCCTCATAATCACTTTACCATTTTGTGTACAGAGATGGATTTATGCCACGAAGTAGCTTTGGGTTTGACTGAACTCTTTTAGATACATTACGCCATTTCATGTATTTCTGGGAGAGTTATTACTTCTGTCATTCACGTTTGCGATCGAAACCTAGATGTTTCGTCTTCCTCTCTGACGTATGTTAAGGCCGGGTGATTTTAAACTCTATCTCTAGATTGCATGGAAAAATTATCCCAAAGATACGACATGAAACGCAGGAAAGATCAGGATCGTGATCGTTAAAAATGTAAAGTTCTTGCAAGAAAAAAAAAAAAAAAAAATATATATATATATATATATATAAGTGAAAGAATCAAAGAGGACGCGTCGATTCTCTGTTCAGAACAGAGAATCGGTGCGTCCTCTTTGATTCTTTCACTTATATATACTCAGCTTTGCTACTACAGCATTGAGCACTTTATGCCAAGGTAGACTCTACCCCCACATTTATACGTGTATATATATATATATATATATGTATATATATGTATGTATATATGTATAAAATGAAAACTAAATGTGTATTGTGTATGGCGTGACAAATGAAAGTGTATCTGTCCATCTGTTTAATTCCTCTAACCACTAGGGGGCTTCGTTGCAATATTTCGTTTTAATTTCAGTTACGACGTGCGAAAATACCTTCAACTTGAGAGAGACTTTGGTAGTATTAAAAAAAAAAACAGTTAGACGCTGACATAAACAAAGAAGGAAAAAGAACGGCTTGGAAAGGAAAAGATTAGAGACGATTTCAAATGACGAACTGAACAATTTAAATCAAATCTTATGTTTCACAAACGTTTTTCTTTCATCGAAGACTAGAACCACTGGGCGCTTATTTTAGAAGGGAAATCAGTCTTAGCTATCGTAGACCTCTCGGGTTATGTTTCTCGTAGGATGATTAACTCTAAGACATAATCTATGGTTCTTTGTATTTTTATGTTTACAGGCTAAGCGCCTGGTGGAATGTTTCTTTGATCATCTGATTCCCAACAGAAAAGCCCGGATAGAGCTGGACGCTTCCTAATCTCCTGCCCTTTACAGACTGGGTCAAGGGAAATTGTACAGATTACTACGAACGGATGACTTCGGTGGGAAAATTGATGCTAACTCGGACATTTTTTTCGGTATATTAGAGAATAATAGATGAAGACGTAGCCTAAAAATATTTTCCGGATATCTACACTTTTACCTTGTGTTTCTTTTGAAATTAAGCCCATTTGGAAACAGTGGAAGTCGGGTGTTGATCAAATTAGAATTACTGTTCCTTTATATAAGAGGTTTGTAAAAGACTTCCGGTTAATTGTGGAGCGGATTCGTTGCATGAAGTCCTTGATGTTAACTCTGAAACTGAACTTCTTTTGCCTTATGTTTTTTCTCTAAATGTAATTTTTTTATGGCTACGTGTAAGGCGTTAGTTTCCTCGCCAAAGTAAACAACCGCTCGCCCACCGAATTTTTCCGTACAGAGAAACAGGCAAAACATGTTGATGTTTCATTCACATAACGTGAATGCGTGTTCTCTTTGCTGTATGTCTCAGCTCTCTCTGTATCCAAACATCTTCTTCAGCCTATTTTTTGCCTTTAGTGTGTACAATTCCTATGTGACGAGGCGGATTTTGGCTATGTTTGACGTGAGTCTGGTGTCTCCAACTTTAGATCATTCAAATGCCTATACGCTCTTGACTTGTACTTGAGCAAAGTTTGAAAAGTGTCTCCTGTTCTTTTGTGAGCAGATAATTTACTTTTTACCACAGTGACGAAGATGCATTCTTGCGGTTTTCTTCTATCTTCTACGGGTCAGTTGGTTTCCAGGCGTCTGTTGAAGAATTAAGGAACTGCAGTGTGCCCACGACCCTCAATTAAATTATTTAAAATCACGCTTGTTCTCAAAGAGGAAATTTATTTATCATTGTGCGTGTGAAACCGTTTCAAAAGTTTACTTGGATTAGACTTAACTTTTGATAAGTTAAATTATTAAATTCATGCTTTTGCTACTTGAAGCGGACAGCGTTAAATTGATTACCCTTTTTATACTTGACCATTTGTACATTTGACGTAATTGTAAAAACACTGAATTAAATACCTAAAACGGGTAAGTTTATGACGTCTTTCTTTCGTAGTCTGAACTATTCTCAGGAAAAATTATTGTTACAAGCGCAAGTGATAGTGAATTATTTTTCTGTACTTACGTGTTTGTCCAGAATAAAAATATTGCTTGGTGCCATTTAAATATAAAAGACATTCCTTTTTATGTTCTATTCTGGGATATTTTTTAGAAGTATTTTGAACATCAGTGGAACGTTTTGAAATCCGTAGCTTAATCGTTTGTCTCGCAATGTATAACCGTGACGACAAGCGATCAATATATCAGTTAGCCTCGCTTTACATTAAAGACAAACTATTATATTTTTTATTTATCTACTTAACCACGATGAAAAACAACTGACCATTTTTTTTTATAACAATCTATAATCTACATTGAAGGCTCTTAAAAACTGCTGCGGTGATTTTTCTAGAACGTGATTAGTGTTGTGACCTTTCAGCGACATGGGAACACGGGGCAATGAAGCAGGGAAATTTTTATAGTCGCTAAGATTACTTTCATTTTTTATCCGACTTTAGATTCGTTGCCAAGAATTTAGACCTGCTTTTGCGAGATAAATAAGTGGTGTTAGCAATATCATGTTGAGGCTTATTTGTCCATAGATAATTCCTCGCCGCATTTCCAAAAATAGGCATAAACTTTATCTCGAATATATATGAGAACGATAGCGGTAAAACGCACTAGGAAGTCTCAAGATAAACAACATAGGCAAGCCGAAAAGTTTTTCAAGCCTCCATGACCGAAAGGTGACCATGAAACGGGGTAACCAGTTAGAGAGAGTGCTTCTTGGCGTTTAGGATAACCACAGGTACTTAAATAACAATTTACGCTGTCAATATCCTCAAACAGCTTTTTAAAGCAGTTTTACCGATTCGCGGTATCGATCATTTGGGAGTGAAGTGTCGTTTTGCGTGGGCTGCGCGATCGGTCGCGCGAGGAGTGTCCGAAGCGATCAGCTTACCGGCAAACACGCCCGCCCATAATGGTGTTGACTGCATTACCCATATTCGAGAATGTACGTGTGAAAATAATTGCATCCGACACTCCCTCGATAACCTTGAGAATTTAGATTGTACGGCAATCTCTGTTTCCTTTCGTTGGTGCCTTAAGCACACTTAAAGTATTAGAGTTGACTAGGAAGCCGTGAGAGAGAGTTGATCATTCTGCAAACTGGTAAAACAACGCTGTATTCAGGATTGTAAAGAATTTTAAAACGATCCATTTATCCGATCAGACATTTGAAATCCGAATTCAGTACAGGTAAGTTGGGCCGATATGTTTATGAATTAGAGGGTAAGTGATGGGGTATATCTTCGCTTTCGAAGTAAGACTGATTTGTTTCATGACGATCACATTATTCAGATCGCCCGCCCGGGGGACTTTTTACCGCCCTGAAGATGGAGGTCCAGGCCGGTGTCGCAGGCTTGGACGACCTCAGTTGTTGATAGAAAGACACGCCGACAGGAAATTTATTCTTCTAATTTTTCTAAAAAATTCTTTCTGAAGAGAGTGAAACTTACAGGTCAGGAACTTCAAGTGTTTATATCGCTTGATTGATATTACACATAGGTGATAACATTTTGCAGGATTTTTAACCGAGAGGTGATTATTTTTTCGTTTGATAGGTAATCAGGAAACAGAATCCAGTATCCTGGAACTGTTTCACTTTTGAAAGGAAGCACGCAGCTGTACAGACGGCTACGTCATCACGCAAAGAAAGAAGGCGTATATTTAGAAGTTTGCTGTATCCGGCTGGAATCAGACACGGTCACAGAGGATCAGCTTTCATAGATTATTCCATCAATTTGCGTAGGAATTGATTATTGAAATCAGCGACAGTGGATAGGGGTGGAAGCTTGACCGTATGACTAATTTTATGTTTACGACCTAGTGAAGAGCATCTGGAAGAGCAGTAGTAAGATAAATATTTGAAATAAACGTTAGATTAGGAAAATTATCACACTTACAAAACTATCACCCGTCATGATTGGCTGTATGATGGCGTCACGTGACCAAAGACATCGTCGAACACGGAAATTGTCGAGCAACTGGCTCAAAATGGCTGCTCCTCCTAGTCGTGGAACACGGTTTTTTAGTCGAATACAAGATGCCCTCACACATGCTGTGACTCCACGTTTGCAGATCGACAGAAAAACTATCGAGAAGACGTGGAAACTGATGGACAAAGTGGTGAAACATTGTCAAAACCAACGGCTGTCGTTGAAGAATAGCCCCCCTTACATCTTAGATATTTTGCCCGATACCTACCAACATTTGAAGTTGATTATCTCGAAATACGAGGATAGGATGCACATTTTGAACGACTGTGAGTATTTTAGGATTTACATAGAAAACCTCATCAAGCAATCGAAGCTGGCTATCAAGCTTTTCAAAGATGGAAAAGAAAAAATGTACGACGAAAACTCCACGTATCGACGCAGCTTGACCAAGCTGAGTTTAGTTTTCAGTCACATGCTGGCCGAGGTGAAGGCAATATTTCCTCAAGGAACTTATATAGGAGACGGCTTCAGGATCACAAAATACGATGCAGCCGAATTCTGGAGAAAGAATTTTGGGATTGGGTAAGTCTGATGTTAAGTTAATTTTCTTGGGCTTCATGTATTGTTTTGATAAACGAAAGTGATCAATGGTCGCTACATACACAACCATGACAGCTCGTTTTCAAAATCTTGTTCTTCGCTTTTGTTAATCTCCCTTCGCGCGGGTGGCCAGGCCACTATTTGCTTCGTTTCCAAAATGTGTCGTCAAATTTTATAACATATCACAAGGAAAAAAATAACTTCTTGACGTTTATTAATTAATTGCGTGCTTCCCCCGACTTTTAATTTAAAGATCTTGCATTATATCACCTTTAATTCCTCACTCTAAAATCACGAAAAGACCGCGTTTTCCTTTCGATGGCGTCCTTTGAGCTTTCCAAGAAGGCTATACAAGAAACCCAAAACATCCTTAATTTTTTTCCCTTTCCAAGTAAATTTAGAACTTAATTGTCCATTGGAAACTGTGTTTACAAATACAAAGAAAACCATCATAATTTTCGTCATATATTCATGGTGAAACACGTAAAGATCTGACTTAAATTGTGATGTTAGATGCATTTCAGACGAGCTGAAACTTTTAAATATCGTATCATCTTGTCTATGTTACTTGAAAAATATCCAATCTATTTGTTTGGTTATGCATCACTGCTATCATAGACCTCAGAATATTATTCCTAAACTTAATTTGCTGTACTCTACCCGGTGCGTTTTTAGTTCTCGTACTCAAATTTTCTCTCGGCTCTGATTGAGAACAAATAGCTGAACATTTAAGTAGCGAAGCGAATGAAATTGTAATTGGTGTTTATATTTTATTTCCTTCTCTAATTGAAAAGAGATCAAGGAAATTTTATTTTCTCCTTTGCTGAAGGAAAGCTGTATGTTGCAAGAAAAAACCCGGACCAACTGTTTATGAATTTCAATAAGTCTTAAGTTGCAATACGTGATGTGGCTCAGAATTTGTTAATTCATAGTTATTATGGCCTTTGAAAGGTAATGTACCCATATATAGCCTGTATGATTCTGTGGTTTCACAGGAAAAGCCTCTACTATGATGTAGAAAGAGAAACAACAATTTTCTTTTTAAAGGAAATTAGAACATATGCACGTAACAATTAGGTTTTGAGAAGTGACTGTCAGATCTTAAAAGTGATTTTGAGGTCAATGGATCAATAGATAACCTGCATATGATTTTTGGGAAATATAGCTTTTAAGTCTTGAGTAGATCATATGTATATAGGCTTTAAAAGGTAGATAACACTAAGTGTGTGTTTTGGAGTTTATGTTCTGCCCTGACATGGGAATGAAAAACATGTTTTTGATTACCAGTTATCTCACAGCTAGTTATTCTGAAATGTTGTGTTATCCTCCAAGAATTACTAGACATGCATTCCTATATTAAGAATTTAAATAGCTCTTCCGGGAAGTAATGTGACAATGAAATGTCTAACTAAACGTAGAATTTTGTTGAGTTTTTTCATGGCCAACAAGCTGTTCTCACATTGTCTTTATGGTTTAGTCTTGATGCATAATTCAATAGAATTTATGTTCAATGAGGTGAAAAAAGAAGCATCATTGATGATATTTTGAAATTGAGCTTGAGTGGTAATCTATCTGTGAATATGCCTTTTTCTTGATTCTACTTCACTGGACAAGTGTTTATATTTTGACACCAAAATGTACCTAGTGCACTCAGCTGAATAACTTGCTATCACCACCAGGAACATCAAAACAGACTGCAAAATATCACTCAACACAGACTAAGTGTGTGAGGCTTTTAACTAAGATATTCCCTAAGGAGAGGCAAATTTTTTTGTGCAAAAAAACATAATGGAATATTGTTGAGAGTAACCTTAACATCCAAGTGCTGATGAGGGGTATGACAGGTACAATCTCCAACTTCGAGAGCAGACCAAGATTTTTAGTGAATTTTTTGTGAAAGGTAATGGATTTTATTACTCTTCATTCTCTTCAGGAAAACAACGGTTTCATGGAAGCAATTTCGTCAAACTCTCCAAACAGTACACCATATCAGCTCAGGTTTGGAAGCAATGGCCTTAAAGTCAACAATAGATCTGACATGTAATGACCACATCTCCATATTTGAATACGATGTCTTTACAAGATTGTTTCAGCCATGGTCGCATCTGCTTCAGAACTGGAATCTCCTTGCCGTGACACACCCTGGTTACTGTGCTTTTATGACTTATGATGAAGTGAAGGCAAGATTGTGTAAACACATGGATAAACCTGGAAGGTTTGTTTTATTCCAATCAAGGGTTAATATTGTATCAAAGCAGTCTATTGAAACTTTGAATTTTTGCCACCAAAAGCATCGTTGATGAAAACTAAAAGAAAACAGTCTTAGTGTACCAATGGGTATTACAATGTTTAAACTGGTAAGTGAATGGGTTAATTACGTCATTTGACTGAAAACTAGACCATTCTATACCTGAAGAAAGTTTTAACCTGGGAGTCAATAAATAAAGGGAAAGTTTTGTTACAGAATAAGAAATTAATTTGCACACTGATAAGGCTGGATAAGAGGACACTCAAGGGTCTTCATTTTATAGTGAATGGATGGTATCTTTGGGCAAATATCCACCAAAGAAAACAATTTAAAAGTTGGTGTAGAGCTGTATTGTGCAACTGATTCATTTACCACTTGCATCTTTTTTCTGTTGTTGTTGTTCCAGCCTGTAATTTGACTTGTGATTTCTTTTTCTACAGTTACATTTTCAGGTTAAGTTGTACAAGACTGGGGCAGTGGGCCATAGGATATGTTACACCTGAGCATACGATTCTTCAAACCATTCCTCAGAACAAGTCACTCTGTCAGGCACTTATTGATGGAGCTAGAGAGGGCTAGTAAGTGCTCCTGAATTCTCACCCAGAAGAACTTAAGATGTTTAAACTTCAACCTTTCAAAAAAAAAAATCCAGACCTGATATTTTTCAAGTCTCTCATTTGCAATCAATTTTAATCTTCTATCAGCACAAATTTTTTCCTAGCATTTTGGGTATGATTTGATCATTTCAATTCTTAACAATTGCTAGCTCTTCAGTATCTGTTGGCAGTCATAAGTTCTTTATGATATTGGAAATTCCTAATTTTCAAGTCTAATCATCAACACAAGGAAATCCCTTTTATATTAAAATCTATTTCCATTAGCAATATATTTCTTTGAGATTTTGATCACAAAGATTGTGTAGAAATTAAAGTAACAATTAGAGTTAACATTTCAAACTTAACTTTTCTTTTTTATTATTTTCCTTAGCTACCTTTACCCTGATGGAAATTCAGACAACCCTGATGTTAGCCATCATCTCATCACCCCTCCTGATGAGCACATCACTGTCACTGAAGAGCAATATGAGTTGTACTGTGAGATGGGATCCACCTTTCAGCTTTGCAAGATCTGTGCAGAGAATAATAAAGATGTGCGCTTGGAGCCCTGTGGTCATTTGATGTGTCACATGTGCTTAGACCAGTGGCAAGAAACTGGGGGGGAAGGGTGTCCATTTTGCCGTTCTGAAATCAAAGATATGCAGGCCATTGTTGTGGATCCATTTGTACCACATCTTGAGGAGGAGACAATGGCAGTAAGAGCAGCAGAGAACCAAGAGAATCACTTGGACGGGGAAGACGATGAAATCATGGAGGTTTGAGATTTATAAAATGCATAATTAACCCTGTGCACCCTAACATCAGTACACAAGTTTTCCCTAAATTGCTAAATACATTTTCTATGGTATGTGCTAGGAAAATTTGCCTAAAAAATTGAGAGCTTCTAGAGTTTGTGAACATTTCTTTTTATTCTCATGACCTTGAAGTTTGTTTCAAGGGGTGATACAGTTGAGAGAAATTAAATGCAAATAATTCTAAGGATGTACACGGTTTAATTATTGCGAAAGAGATTGTCACTTTCACCCTCCTGTTCTCCACTTGAGGGATCCTCTTTGCCTACTTGACTACCTTTCTGTGTGACTCTTTATCACTCTGACAAAGGGCTAATGCCCAAAATGTCAGCCATTAAACTCTTTATGGTGGCTAATTTACATTTTCAACTCAGTTGTTAATACTAAATTACCTGTTATACTCTTCCACTGATGCAGCACCACAGTTTTTTTAGAAATTTACCCCCTCTATTCATTTATCTTTTTGTCTGTCTACTTACCTACTGAATCTATTTCAAAAGCTAACCCTGAGTGGTAATTTTTTTTCTTTCCTCAGGATCCTAGTCAGTGGGTTTCCACAATTGATTCTAGACCTCATGGTACTCAACAAGGAAGATATCCCCATTTACAGCAGGAGAACACTGAGCAGTCTCGGTCATCTGAAGATGCTCCTCCGCCCTTGCCCCAGCGGCGAAACCTCCAGTTCAACTCACAGTCACCTACCTCTCCAACCCTCGTAGTCACCCATGTGTCACCATTTGCTTCTCCTGGGACATCTTCAAGGTCGTCACCTTTAAGTTCTCCATGGAACTCTCCAAGGAACTCGCCACGTGCATCTCCTAATGTGTCACCCCACAACTCTCCTCATGTGTCTCCATGTGGCTCACCACATAACTCTCCTTCACTGTTAAGAAAGGTACCACCACCGCCGCCACCATCAACCTTAGATGAGGACAGTCCTCCTGCAGTACCAGAGAGGAGGTATAAACACAGAGGGACCAATGTGGAAAATAAAGAGAATAAACCAGGAACTAAGACATCTAAGCATGAAAGCAACAGAAGGGATACAGTGGGATATGCAGACATAGCTGCTGCAAATGTCACACATGACTCATTTGGTCAAAACCAGAATAAAACAAATTATGCTCAGCTAACTTACCCTCATCCTGATGCAGCTGAGTCTACTGACAGGGAAAGAAGCAGACCAGGAGAAGCCACGATGGCTGAAATTTGTGCAAATGAAGAGGCAACTTCATATGATTTTCCTCTACCCATAATAGCTGAAAGAGAACGTTCACGGGGTGAGAAATCTAACAAAGAGAATGGTTTAAGGGACAATACCACTGACCTTCAATCAGTTGCAGATCCTTTTGCTGAAGACCCATTTGAATCGAATGGTAAATCAAAAAATGCCCCGTTTGATGATGATTTTGTAAAAGGCCCTTTGGTTGTAGCATTGCCACCAACACGTTCACAAAGCTATAATTCTGGGATGCCACGCAAAACCCATGCTCATAGCGACAAAAATACTCTACCTTCAAGGGTGTTCACCAAGGCAAGATCCACTGATGATGTGCTTGAGGATCCCACTTATTCAAATGTTCGTCGAGACCATGGCAGACATCCTGGTCAAACCAATGACTTTGAGAGCAACGGAAATCCCACTTCAAACAGTCACCATGATAGAACTTTACGCCCAGCCCTGCTTACACGAAACAGCTGGGCTGGAGCAGAAGCAAAAAATTTCAGCAATCCAACATATGGTTCCCAGGGTTTAGATCCAAATAAGTTAGAGGGGAAGGGAGAACACAGACCAACACGATCCAGATTGCCAGATGAAGATCCAAACCTTGATGCTATGCAGTTTTATGAAGAGGATTTTACAATTCTGCAGGCACAGGGCTACAGTCGTGAGGAGATCACTAGAGCCCTTATTGTAGCTGATAACAACTTTGCTTTGGCAAGGAAGATTCTCCGTGAGTTCTCTCAAGGGACAAGAAAGCTATGAACTTTTGGTTACAGTTGAATAGTAATGTAATATGCTGAGAAAGTTGGAATTAAGGTTGAGTTTTTCCCCTTGTAGAGTTGCTAAAGAAAGGAGAGTTTTGTTGAATTTTGATACGATAGCCACATAATGAATTATCAAGTAGTTTTTTATTTTTTAGTTTTCAGGTTTTAATTTTAAGTTTTTAGTTGTTTAGTTTTTCAAGTAACTAAAGTTTTTAAGGTAATTAATCTAAACCTTTGAAATGTGCACCACAAGAATTAATTCCCACAGAGGAAATTTTTTGACATCTATGCAGTTTCCTTAATTTGAAATTCTTTATAACCCAGCCTGACAAATCAGTGAAAATCTTGATCAGTCAATTTAAATTGACCCCAGTTTATCTATTGAAAAAAATTGTGACATTTAACATGATAACCTTTTCATTACTTTTTATGGACTTCTAATTTTGATCGGTTGCTTTCCAATGATATTCTTCCATAATACAACAGCTCAACAAGTTAGGTTAGAAAATGCAATCAGCAATATATATGAGACAGTAGACAGCACCAATAGGGACAAATGTAAAGTGACTTGTTACTTGGCTGACTAAGAAAGAAGGCAAGGTCATGCTTTGACTGGCTCTTGAAGCAGGTGAGATTGGCTTGTGTTACACACTCTGGATTGTCCATTTTTTCCCCCTCTGTGAATTGCTTACATGTTTTTTCTCAAAGAGATTATTTTGTATAATCTTTTTGCCAGGTTATAAACTGACCAAGCTTGTTCCTCAAGTTGGCTAAGCTGTAAAAGGGTTTTAAAAATATTTCCCAAAATCAAATCTTCTTGAACTCATGTTTGGTTGTGGTGCATCTGAACATGTAACTATTACCTGGTTATAGATTGTTGGCAACACAACATCAATTTACAAATACAGGTTGATTTTTTAATTTATTCATTTCATGATTAATGACTTGATCAGTCAGACCTGGTGGTAGGTTAATCATAGTAGGGAATGACAGTAATTGTTTAGCTTATGAAGCAGTAATTACCCAGTTTTCTCAAGTCATAATCAATCAACTCTCATCAACCCTTAAACCCCCAAAACTTAAGTTGGAATCCCACCATATATTTCCTTCTGGATAAGTGAAGAGAATTCACTGTTTTATCAAACACCTTGCTGATGTGTTTTTCAATTCTCACCACATATTTGCTGGATAATGTATAGATGTAGTAAAGAGAAGTTATATATCAATTAACTTTGGGAGTTGAAGGGTAAATAAAGCTTTCAGTTACTCGCTAACTTTTTGGTCAGGAGAAAAAATTGCTGTCAGAATTTTGCTGGTGGTCCTAACAAGATTAAAGGTTCTTTTTCAAAACTTATTTGGTACATGTTATGTGTTCAGAAAAGAGAGTGGTAATCAGCAATTAATGGAAAAATGAATATTCCTTTATTTCCACATTGGGGAATAATTTTTTTTTTTTTTTTTTTTTTTTCATGTCACTTCTTTGTCATTTCTATTCAGGTTGTAGAGCTATAAAGGGAAACTTTGTTGTCAGCCTGTGGCTTGTTGTGTCTTTGTTAAAGCTTTGTTGGGGTGTTAACGTAAATGTGATACTCTATAATTTTAAGTCCTATTTACAATTCCCTATGGGAAAAGTTAATTGTCAAGTTTATAATTACCAGTGCAACAATTCAGGGTTTAAGGATGAATCATTGAATGATTTTGCAAAATTGAATGTAAAAAGACAAGCCTGGTCAGGTAATGGCAGTTTTTTACTGCCAAAGTATTTGTAAAAGTGAACAGAATTCAGACCTGTAAATAAAGCAACACAAGAAAAAAAAAGCTTGGAAACAATCAAGCTTGTAAAGATTATTACATTTTTAGAATTATCCAAATTTCTGGACTTAAAAAAGAGCGACAAATAAGTAAACATAAGGGTATTAGTCTAGAATATGGTAATTAAATAAACATTTTTTGGGGGAAGTAATTTTTTTTGGATCAATAATTCTCTTTTTTTATCATAGAATTGAATTCAGAAACTGATTTCTTATTTATTCTCCTTCCTGAAAATTTTTCATTGTGTTAAGCAGCACTTTAAGACAAATACTTTGTTGCCATAGAAGAATGTTTTTTTCTTTTTGAAATAAATCAATTATGACTATATCTTGTTAGCTTTGATCTTCCTGAATCAAACCTCCAAGCAAAAGATATTAAAAATAATTCCAAAAACCACGGTTCAAAATAGTCACCTTGAGGAGATCAAAACTCATCATAAAATGTGTATTATTGAAAACCTGCAGAGACAAACTCAAAGATGTGATACAAAGATTTACATACAATACATAGTTGTTCTGAGAAGTGTAGGGAATTACATAATCATTGCTAATCTGTCCAGAGCCAATTTGGTCTGCGACAATTTTTTACTTGGAAGGTGACACTCAGAAGAAAATTACAGTGATGGTTGAAAGCCTTGAATTCAGTGACAGAATTGACCACTGAATGGTGGGCTTAGTTGAGTGAATTTAATCAGCCAATAATCTTTATCTTCAATTTTCACTGACATACACATAACTACCTTCCTAACCCCTCTATATATCAGAGGGCTTTACTGGAATATTTCTGATCAGTGATTTGGTATGAAATGTTTCACATTACCAAGATCCATTTTGTCTCTATGAGCCAGCCTATTCAAACATCAATATTTCCAAGTGCCAAATACAATAAAAATGAGTTGGAAGGAAAGTATTGGTTCATTTTTCTAGTAGCTAGGGAAAGAAAAATTTCCTTGTGATTTTTGTAAGTGTTAGCTCATCAGTTTTGAAAATTGCATGCATCTCTGTACATAAATTCCCTTGTCAATGAACCTCACTTGGTAAAGTGATAGAAATATAAAGAATTTTTTTAGCATATATTGCTATGTAAATGAAAACTTCAAATCAGTTATAGAACAGATATACCACATGATAATGTAAATGCCTATATCAGGAGAACTATTTAAATGCTATAAAGATACCAATATATTTCACAGGAACCCACTCTATTTTAAGAGTAGTTGTGTTGCAAAGTTTATGCCTCTCTTTTAAGTTAAAAATAAAATGTTGTGTTAGGAAGACTTTGTAAATTTGAAAATCTTTTTGTGTCTTAAGAATAAGAGGGTGTATGAAAGACTCAGAATGAATATGTAAATATTCTAGAACAGGAAATGGGCAAATCAGGCTCAGTGTTTAAGCGCTGTTGTGTTCAGGAAAGAGCACTCCAGCTGAAGGGCCTCCTCAAAGGGGGAACAAAGACTGGATGTGTGACAGGCTTGGAAACTGAGCCATCTAAAGAATGCAACCCATCACACCACTTCCTCCTTGACAAACGTTTCCTGAACATTAGCTATTACTATTGCCTTAACATTTCTAGAGGCAAAGCTACACCTTCATGGAAGCATGCAAGTACACAAAGATTACCTTTTTCTGCTCAAACATATCACTAGACCAGCCTTAGGCATACTGCCAGAATTAATATTACAATCTTTTTTTAAGTGCACTGTGTCCATCAAACTAAGATTCCACTACAAATGAAATATTACCACGAGATGTCATCAAAACAATGACCATCCACATCTGGAAGAGACAAAGAACTTACTTATCCATACAATTACAATACACTATTAACAAGACAGGTAATGAGAGTAAAGGAAAAGGGAAATGATGATATTGTTGCTTTTACACCAAATTCTCAGAGCTAAAATATCAGAATGTAGAGTAGACTGTGCTGAGACCTTGGGAGTAAAGTGGTTACACATTCAAGGGTTGGGAACCCCAGATTTCTAAGACAATAGTTATTGGGCTCCTGGAGATTCCTCTTGAGAGTAGAGCTTTGGGATCTGATTGAATAATACAATGACAATAGTTTGTAAGTTATTTATTGCCAAGAATACTTCCACAGCACAGATGAAATCAAAGTTCAATAGTTGACATAATAAAGCCAATGAGTTAGCCCTTAAGCTTCTTCTTTGGTCTAAGGTTGTTGCTGTGACCACATTTCTTCTTGCGGCAGTTGACTGCTCGAGGATGCAGACGGGCATAGCACCTGAAAAGAAAGGAATGTTCAACTTCAAACTTGTATCCAGATATAATAACAAATAGTAGGAGTTCCTTGTCCACAATCCAAATCTTAAAGAGAAAATATTTATTGACTGAATGGGTGGGCCAGACATGGAAATATTTGGCTTGAGGCCATGAGCATCAAAATAAGCCCATGAAATTTTCCCATCCGATCCAATAAGTCTAAAAGCAATTTATCAAATAATGGTCACTCTTCTTCATCCTTTCATCTCTTAGCTCCCATCTTGCACTTTAAGTGGCCAGACACAGCCCTCACACAAGATTTTTGTTCATGTTTGTGGATAAACGAAAGCACACAGCCATACAGTTCATACAACAACATTTAAATTTTGAATTGTGTTGTCTGTGATCTCACATTGATCAATAACGGAGAAAAATGAGAAATATACCACGCCATGGAAGTTGCACTTTGCTTGAAGCAATGATGAAACACAAAGTTGGTTATTAAATAATAAAAAGATAACATACTTCCTGCAGATCATTTTATCACAGTTATATTTCTGCGCCAAAAGGCGCAAACTGGGTTCAATAACCCCACCACGCAGCCTCAACACAAGATGGAGAGTGGATTCTGTTGATGGAAAAAATCAAAATGGCAATAAGCCAAAAAAGGTTCTCAGTGAGATCTAATGGTGGATCATTATGGCCGTAATTCAGGATTTACTTTTACTGTCATACAGGTCAAGCATGCTAACTATACCTTTCTGGATGTTGTAGTCAGAAAGAGTTCTTCCATCTTCTAATTGCTTGCCAGCAAAAATAAGCCGTTGCTGATCAGGAGGAATACCTACAATCAAAAACAGTCTGTTAAATTCCTTTTGTTCCTGGCATTTGATTGGCAGTTCTTCCTCGTAACTGCTATACACTGCTTGTAACAGAACTAACCTCTTGAATGCTTTCAAGACATAGTCCCTGAGTCAAGATTTTCTCTTTTCAGTGGCAGGGCGTGAAATTGCACCTAATACAGGCGCCAGTGCAACTAAGTTTTTCACTTTGCCGACCAAATCCTGAAAATTAGTCACCAAATTGGCAACTAGAATGCTTCATCATAACCTTACTTAGAGATATAGTGAATTAAAAAGATTTGCAAAGGTAAAGCCACAGCAAACTTCCTTGTTAAGTTTGTTTCCAAAACACAACACAGGCATCTAAAGCGATGACTAGACACCATCTTGTATTTAGGTGAGCTTGAACGTTGTATATCATCTTACCTATCTAATTTGTAGCATGTTAAAGATCTTTTTCCTAACTTAATTTCGGAGGGGTCTACCTAGAATGCTGACAGCATTCAAAAGAGGTTTTGTTTGTCTTTAAAAATGGCGACTAACTTTTTTGAATCGGCTACCACTTTGAAAAAATTTAGGAGCCAAGTGGCCATCAGAAAAAAAAAAATTCACACCCTGAGTAGCCCTTATAACAACACACTGAGTAAATTAGAATTTTGAGAGATTCATGTTAACTCAGGCACACTGAAGTCTTTTTAACTGGCTCTAGACATTTGAAGTGAAAAT